CTATCTAATAAATACAATAGATAAAGATGAGTAAAGCACATATCACGAGCCCAACTTAAGAAGGAAAACTTCAGCTATAAATAGGATATTACTGACTCATGACTGACTCATTCTTATCTTTGTATTTAATATTATGCTACACATAAGGGTATATACTATTATTATTTTTATTATTTTATTGTTAATCGGTTAAGTGTGAAAAGGAAATTAGTTCATGGGGTTTAAAGCAGACACATGACATTTTTGTTGTTAACCGATTAAGTGTGGAAAGGAAACTAATTCATGGGGTTTAAAATAGACACATGACATTTTTGTCCTCTAGTGACTTTTCTCTTCTAATAATAAAGATTATAAATTTGGCATGTCTATACTTAAGAATTAAAAGGCTTAATTTAGGCCTGTTTATCTAGTAAAGTCTATCATGTCTTCAAATCCCAATAAAAATTATAAAATCTAACTATAGTAATATTCATTTTATGATTTAAAATTATTTTATTTAAAATAAATAATATAATATGGCCGATCTATTAATTTAAATGCCAATTTTTATAAAAAAGACCTATAAACTATTTTTCTAATATATTTTTTAAAAATTCAAATCTATTATATTTTACTAAATATATTATGTCGCGTTTATCCCGATATAGTTCTTGTAAACCCCTAATAAATCATGTGACCTATTAAAACCCCTAATAAATCATGTGACCTATTACACCCCTAAATAAATTTTACATACACGATTATTGGATTTTATCATATTGCTTGTTAATATGATAAATATCACAACAAAAAGAGACACATAAATTAAATTAATGATTTTATATAAATAATATTGGGTTCTATTTTAATCTTGTCTATTTATTTTATTTTGAAAATTGTTTCAAGGATATCCTTCAACTGAAAGTTAAAGACTAATTCTCTCGAGGTGAAGAGATCACATGGTCGAGAGTACAACCTCTCTCAACAAAACCTTTTTTATATACACAGTCAGGGATCGAACCCCTAACAGTATGTTTAAAGGCCCAACTATTTATCAACTGTTCCGGTTGGTTGCGGTTGTTTCTATTCATTCTTATGTACTAAATTAGATTACACTTTTTTTTCGTTAGTAACTTAATTTATTAATCTACTCTTCTATAAAGACTAAAACTTGACATTCTTTTTTTAATTAATTTTAAATTTAATTTCTTTTAAATTAATTGTGAACTTTTTTTATAATGTAATTTTTTTTCTCTTTTAATATATATTTTAAAATTTATATAAATTAATTATATATATATTTTCTATATAATTTTAAATACTATACAATTGCTAACTAAGACGAAAAGAAACAAATCCTGCAACAAGAACAACTAAAGTGATCAATGGCATGCGGATTCAGCAGTCAACTAGCATGTTGTGACTTCTGTTACGTTGGATATTATAAGGTCTAATTCCATTTTACACACACATGCATGCTTTCCACGTTTTACATATTTTGTAATCTCAACTTCAGAAGCAGTTATCGTACAGCCTAAGTTGCTGGTCTTGATTGTTAGGTGTGATATGATATAATGATCATGTCTAAGAATCTCAATTTTCCAAAAAGAAATAGTGGGAATACTAACAGCCTACAATTTTTTAATGATGAAAATGACGTAACTGATGATGTGATCTCTTGAACAACAGGGACATTATATACGTAGTTTAGTTAATCATCCACTTGTCTATTAAGATTAATAACCCATCAAATCAGAATCACATACACACAGGTTGTCTTGTTAGAATGAAACACCAATTGGGCCTGTTTGAAAATTTCGATTCAATGGATTTTATTTTGTTCTGTTACTCTCTGTTTTTCTATTATTATTATCAAAGAGCCGTGAGACTTTTGATCTCCCGAGTAGGGGAAAGCCAAACAAGTAGATCATTATGATTTATGACCAGCTAGCTACTAGCTAGCCCCTTTCTGAAGTACATAATATATATTAAAAAATATCTCAATTGATGGGATTAATTAATATAAATTGTTTATCAGAAGATTATATTGGTATGATCATATAGTCTAATATGACACATACAAAAAACGTATATATATCTGGCACTGCACTTCTGTTGTCAGTTAGATTATATCAGAAAATCGTATCTTCTGCACGAAATAAACAATAATGAAACATAACTGGTGGTGATCTTGTTTTCTTGTTTATGATCATGGAATTTTATATATTTTTGTCATAATTGTATAGAAATGAGTACATGCATATATATATATATAGGAAAAATATTATCTTATGTTGTAGGAGAGTATTTTTCTCTCCTACACATACATCGACTTTCGTGTTACTTTTTTTTCTTTTTTTCTTTTTCTTTAAGTGTGTGGGTCCCACTCATCACTATCTCTATGACATAAGAGAGCTTCTCTTATGTCGCATGAGATTAATAAAGCCCATATATATATATATATATATATATATTGCTTCTGAGATTTTTTTTCAAACACTAAGGATGTGTTTGGTATAAAGTTTATTTTAAAATTGATGGAGAAGTGTGAGTGAATTTTGTAGTATTCAATGTTTGGTACAAGTTTTACAAAAATTATACCACCAAAATATGTTGTCTCGAGTTTGTGGTTTGTGTGAAAATTATGATGAAATTTATTGTTTGAAAATATCATTTCTCATGTGGTATTTTTCATTTACCCAGCTAAGTGAAATCTTGGACTCCAAAATAAGACGAAAATGACCTTCCCATCGTCTCGTCTTGTGCTCTTGTCTACAGATCAACTTTACATAACCATTTACATCAATCGATAAACAGATAATCTATAGATCATCTTTGTTAATAGATAAAATGATCAATTTAGTCCAGTTGAGTTTACACGTGTTTCATTCATTAACCAAATAGACAAATTTTACACAGGAATTAAAATTACAACATGAAATCAAATAACTTTTACAAACATTGCATTCAAATTGCAAAATGAATATGCTTTTTATAAGCTGCTATTGTTCTTCTTAAAAAAGCTTCCCATGGCTTTTACCTTCTCCCTCAGAACATATTTCTATGTCTTGCCAGTTGATGTCTTTGGCAAATCAGAAAACACCAGAGTCTTAGGAGCCATATAACGAGGCAAACGATCCTGACAAAATTATAAAGGGTTATTTTTGTCATTTCAACTTATTTTCCCATCAATATTTTACTTTCAACCAAACGTGGACTCAGAAAATTTAATATATTTTTTTTCAGTAATATTTTGATCTACCAAACAACTTTTTTTAACTTTCTTACCAAACTCACTTTGCTACTGATAATTGTCTAAGACACTATGTTTTATGGCTAAAAAGAGTTCAAATAATGACTAAAATAGTTAAAAATATAGTGTTAAAACAATAAAATAGTAAAACAGAATGAATTGTTAACAAATAAACAAATTCTAAATATTTGTTGTTGTTTCAGGTTGTTGAGACTGGAATAACAAAGTAACAAAACAAGGCAACGAATCTGCGGAACAATGGAAAATCAGAAATGAAATAATAAATAAAATAAAAATTGTAACGTTAGCAAAGTTGCTAGCTAGAGCTAGCAAGTGGGCGAGCAGCTAGCAAAGTTGCTAGCTAGAGCGAGCAAAATGGCCAGCAGCTCGCTAAGGTCTTAGCATAGGCGACTAATGGAGCGAGCGGATCAGCAAATTAAAGCCCATATTTTCCCTTTAAATACAACGCGAAGGAAGCCGTAAAAATCATTCTGGAACGCGAAAAAAGAAGGCACTCAGAGACGAAGCGAAGGAAGGAGCATAAGCGTAGCACTGGATCGTGGAAGAGGAGAAGGAATGAGTCAACTCTGCACCATTGATCATCACTTTTAGACAAGTTTATCATGAACTCAGTTTCTTTTACAGTAGATTTTAATTCTGTCGTTATGAGTATGTTAGGCTAAAATACTTTCAGTAGTTAGGAAGATACAGAACCAATGGATTCTTAGTTGATGTTTGTTTATTCTTATGAATTACATTCTTGTTTCTAAATTATGCAATCAATCTGATATTTATGCTTAGTTTTATTTATGACTTGATCACTCGTAAATAAACACATGAGTCATATATGACAATAGGGATGTTGGTATGTGATTCTGATTGGTTGATTGCTGGAATTTACATGATCTAGGGATAGACTTGTGAATTTTATAACTGTGAGTTCTTGCGTTAATGCTTGTTTTATGAAAAAGTACTAAGGGATTAGGCTTTGTATTAGAATAAAGAATTAAATTACCAAGGGATTGAGATTTAGTTAATTATAGAAAGAGCTGTTAATAATTTAATCTTGGATGTAATCGTAAGAATAAGCAAACTCGACCATTGGGGAAGTTGAATCCTAACTACGCCTTTTTATTGAAAACTTAAATCAATTTCTTTTAGCTTTAATTAATTCTGAATTAAATTTCTAAAATATTAAAAACCAAAAATAAGTTTATAAATTCTGTTTTTACTTTAATCACAATATTCTCAAGAAAACCTTTAATGATCGATCCAACTTTAATTAAATAAATAGATTATTGCTTGGTCATCAGTCCTCGTGGGATCGATAACTCTACTTTATCACTTTATTACTTGTACGACCGGTGCACTTGCCGAGTTCGTCAACAAATTTTTGGCGCCGTTGCCGGGGACTGATTTAATCAACATTAATTTTATTTATCAAATTATAGATTGGATCATTTTATTTTATTGTTATTTATTTTACTGTGTTAGTTTAAATATCTTATTGTTTTTATTGTTATTTAGTTTATTTAGTTATTTTATTTTAATTTGTTTGCTTTAAAAAATTTTCTGTTTAGTTAGTGGTTTCCGTTAGTTGGTCCACTGAGACTTAGTTTTCTGGTTTATGCATTTGCGAGGCACTGTTAATCCCAGTGACCTACAGTACGAACCGGAGTTAGGACGTTTAGAAAGAACTAATAGGAAACGTTTGACCGCAAAGAAGACACGAGAAGCATCGAGCTCCAACTCTGCGGAAGGACTAGTCATGGCAGAAGATAACCAAAATCCACCTGAAGAACTGATGAGTCACTTCTTAAACCCTAATTTCTCGCATCCAACTGCGAGTATTAGGAGACCTCAAATCCATGCCAACAACTTTGAAATAAAAGCCTTTTTCCTGAATTTAATTCAAAGTAATCTATTCGAAGGAGACCCGATCGAAGACCCAAACCGCCACATTACTAAATTCTTACAATTGTGTAGCCTCATCAAAGCTAATGGGGTTCCTCCTGAAGAAATCCGTTTGATGATGTTTCCCTTTTCTTTAAAAGGAAGAGCACTTAATTGGCTGGAATTGCAACCTGCTAATAGCATCTCCACGTGGGAAGATTTGGTTGAGAAATTCCAAAAGAAGTTCTTCCCATTATCCCGATTCTCTGAGTTGAAGGAACAAATTGACAACTTCAAGCAACTCGAAGGCGAATCTCTGTGCGTAGGATGGGGAAGATTTAAAGAACTAATCAGGAGATGTCCCCAATACGTTTTATCTAATGGCGAGAAGGTCCGAATTTTCTACAAAGGAGTTACTCCGACTTATCGAGTACTTCTTAACGCTGCAGCTGGAGGGAGTATCGGAGAAATCACTCCCACAAGGGCTATTGAACTGATTGAGAAGATGTCATCTGAAGATAACGAGGTCACACCAGTTCAACCTAAGAAAGGAGTGTTGCAGTTAGACGGGTACGACGCTATGTTAGCCAAACAAGACAAGATGGATCAAAGGTTAGATTCACTTGTTAAACTCTTTACCCAAAATCAAATCTCTGCGGTTAATTCGCAATTTCCTATAGTTTGCGACACTTGTGGTGGACCACACACTCCTGAAAACTGTGACGCTACAGTAACGATTGATCCGGCTCAGGTTCATGGAATCTGGAATAACCAGAGGAGAGAAAATCCTTATGGAAATACGTATAATCCGAGCTGGAGAAACCATCCTGGTCTGTCATACAAATCTGGGCATCAACAAAATAATAAAAATTTCCAACAAGATCAACCTAATCAGAAAGCCGCTTGGGAAGTTGCATTTGAAAAGATGGCCCAGTCTCAAACAAATTTCGCAGAAGAAACGAGAGCATCTTTTAAGAATCAAGAAGCTTCCATAAAGAATCTGGAAATTCAGATTGGTCAGCTTGCCAAACAGATGGCTGAGAGGCCTCCAGGAACCTTTCCTAGTAATACAATTATTAATCCCAAGGAACAATGTAATGCCATCATTACAAAGGAAAGTGTGGAAATACCAATAGCTGCACCGAGTAGTGAAAAAGATGCAGAGAAGGAAAATCCTGCTGAAGAAAAAGTTGATGATCATGTCATAATTATTGGAGGACCATTAAATGACACCCCACGTAAAAAAATAATAAAGAAGCCTTCTTTAGAAGAAAGAATGAAAGCGTCTTATCCTCAGAGGTTACAGCAGAGCGAACAGAAGAAAAACTTCTCTAAGTTCTTAGAGATTTTTAAGAAGCTGCACATCAATATCCCTTTTGCGGAAGCTTTAGAGCAAATGCCATCATATGCTAAGTTTCTAAAAGAGATCCTAACCAAGAAGCGGAAGCTCACAGTAGAAGGATCCACTATTTTGAAAGAGGAGTGTGGTGCAATCACACAGAAGAATTTACCTCCGAAATTAAAGGATCCAGGGAGTTTTAGTATCCCTTGCACGATTGGCTCGATGACAATAGAGAGAGTTTTATGTGATTTAGGTGCTAGCATCAACGTAATGCCATTATCTATGATGAAAAAGCTAAGAATCACAGAAGTGAAGCCGATCAATATGATTCTGCAACTAGCTGACCGCTCCACCAAGCAAGCATATGGAGTAATAGAGGACATACTTGTTAAGGTGGACAAGTTCATCTTCCCGATGGACTTTGTTATCTTGGATATAGAGGAGGACACTACTGTTCCCATGATCTTTGGGAGACCTTTCTTAGCAACCTTCGAAGCACTAATTGATGTGCCTAAAGGTGAATTGATCTTAAGGGTGGAAGGAGAAAGGGCTATTCTTAGAATGTTTGAAAAAGAGACTCCACCACCTACAACTCAGCCAGAGAAAATTTTCTTTATTGAGGAAAAGAAGGCTGAAGAAGAAGAAAATAAAGATCATAAGCCAGATGAGAGTTGCAAGCCGGAGGTGAAGATGTCAAACATCAAGACTAAGTATAGAGTTCTTGAGGCCAAACCTTCTAGCCCATATGCACGAGAGTACTATTACGGCAAAGCAATATTTATGATAAAAGGAATGGCATCATCTTTGAATTCCGGCTACAAGCCGCCATGATTAATGAAGTTGTAACGTCAAGCTAATGACGTTAAACAAGCGCTCTTAGGAGGCAGCCTAAGAATTTATCGCTTTTAAGTTAATTATTTTAGTTTATTTTAGGATGCCAGCAGATTTTATTTTCTTTTTAGGACCATTTTAGTTTTATTTTTCTTTTGTTTATCTATTTTGATTAGTGATGACTCTGGTGATGTACAGATTTTATTTTCTCACTCTGTTATGAGCATGATTGCTACTACTGACTTTATCTGATGATATTTTTGAGTTGATGTGTGCAGTTCTTTCTTTTTGATTTATTAATTGCTGAGGACAACAAATTCCTAAATCTGGGAATGGGGACGCACCACACCATATATATAGTAGCAGTAGTAGCAGTTGGTACAACTATGATCCCTGTGATGAGAAGAGCCGCAAATATTTTCAGGGAAAATTCTCTTCCTTATTCCTCTTCATTTTATTTTATTTTATTTTTTTTCTCTGTGTGGATTACTAAATCATGCTAAGTTAGAATTAGTCAGAAAAATTAATTTATGATGTGATGACTTAGAATATATTTTTTATTTTAAGAATAAACATTGATTGAGTTAGTCTAACAGTCAGTAAGAATAATAAAATTACAGTATGAGTGATTGAGAAAGAGCATAAATTACTGAATTGCACACATATAACCGTGAGGTTTGAGCCTAAACAGAAAAATTCTTTTCAGTGTGCATTTTACTGTTGAAAATATTACCAGAACTTGCTTTGTTTCTCCTTAAAGTAATTATTTGCATGCATGATTGAAATGATTGAGGCATTTTATTGTTTTAACTAGTTAGCCAAAAAGTCAACCATTATGATATCCTTTGTTTAGCTCCTTGAGCTTAAGCCTTTTCTGTTCTTAATACCTGTCATCTTAATTAGCC